AAAACAATCGATACTGTTGCATCTTATAATCTAAAACTGGCGTTTCAATAATCGTACTTTAAAAGAAATAGTGAATATATTAAAGGCAAAAGTGGTCAGAAAGTGATTAAATATGCAATTACGTTATGATTAATTACCCATTATTTAATCTCTTTGGTTCATCTTTGTCTACAAATTGCCTTCTCACGGCAGAATATCGAACGGCAATAGTGGCTGCACGGGCTAGCACTAGTCTCACATTTAAAATGATAGCCGCGCGAATCAAAACCATGGTGCCATATAGCAGTTTATCATTTGGTGGCTTTATGTACTCGCCGGTACCTTTGACTACTTGCGAATATTTCGAAAGCATGTTTAATCGTGGAACCCTCACGTGATCAAATAATATGAACCCGTTGTCGGTGGCATTATAACTGACAAAAAGTTGGAAGATTTGATTAATTTTCGGAGCCAATATGACATGAGGCTTGGATAATTTATGATTACCCGAATTTCGGTCCGATATCACCAATAGTGATACCCGGTAATGGTTCATGTGTTTTTAAATCTCTAATCTGTACCATGAAAGGATGAGTACCATAATCTTTGTTATTTGTGATCAGTCTCGCCATCACAACTGCATGATTACTAAATAATAGATGACACAGAAATTGAATTATTTCTTCCGGAGAAACGGGACAAACATAGATACATGAAGGAAAACATACGCAGTTCTTCCTAACCCACCGATCCACCATTTAGAAGCTGTCAGATAGGGTGAATGAATATCGAATTCATCTGTTTCAGGAATGTATTTTGCAACTGTTTCTAATCCTTGCACATTGGACCCATGCCCTAATTCGGGTTGGGCATAACACCCAATTATTTGGTGTTTTAGTGCTGGTACAAGAACTTTTTCTCTTTGCTCTTCCGTTCCCTGACTCGAGATTGTCGGAATGAACATAGCCCGGTGAAGACCGTACTAATTACAATGGACATATTACCAGAAGTCTATCAAGGCGCATATGAATAACAGAAATCTAAATACCGGTCCTGGTAAATCGAGAAATAGTTCTGCAAATTCAATTTCTTTTTCATCCCAATTATGCTGCCTGTATCAACAATCATTTTTCATTGAATTTCATGTACTAAATTAATCTTATTTCTAGAGAATAAAGATATTCTTCCTCTATTATTATTATTACTATTTTCAAGTTTTAATTCCTGAGCATTTATTGATACGATAGAATTAAATAGAATAGAATAATTTTTATCTATCGTGATAAATTTTTGATGTAATGGATATATTTTTTTATTTGAAAATAAAAAAATTTCTACATATAAGGAACTGTTTATTCTAAAAGAAAAGAAAACATTATTCAACATAACAATCATGATATTTTTAAAAATCCATAAATTATGACGATTAAAAAAATTTATCGTATAAAAAAGGACGTTTAAAATTTTCTTTCTGCTATTGAATATACCGTGTTATTGATTTTGTATGGAACATTAATTGCATGGTCAGGCCTATAATTATTCCATTACCGGAGAAATGATCTTTGTTACCAACAAAAATTTTTAATATCGGATATGTATTACATCCTTTTCCAAGTCAAATAAAGACAAAATCAGCCGTCGAGCTGAGATTTTATGCTCATGTATTATTACACTGAATATCATATAGTCGATCTTCTAGTCCTTCATTCATTCAATCGTCGCTCAGACAATGAATCTCTTGAATATATTGCGTAAGGAAATCTTGATTAGTTACCGCACGATCTCTACTATTTTGCATTCAGAATCATAAGACAATGATTTTAAGCTCATTTTTGTACGACCCTCTGTATGTGAATGAATCTCATTTTTATCTGAGATTTAAACGGTTATTTGGACTAACATCTAGTTCAACAGTCGATTGAATTCTCGCAATGGCATGTTTTTTCATTCAACGATAGGTCGTCTAACAGATAAATCATGTGAAGCTCAAGAGGTGTTGCTGACAAATTAAAGTCAGATTATATTAAAACTTCTAGTTGCGTTGCATAATGTAAATGCTCTGTGTATGTATACAATGACAACGATTCTACTGCTGAACTTTGTAATTTGATTGACTATAATTTTTTAATCGACCTTAACCGATCCATGTAATAGGACCAAACTCATATACTCATAGGTATTTAGTGAAATGGTAATGAATTGTTAGTACGATAACTCAATTGCTTGTTTTCTTATAAATAGTGAGTTTTAATGTCATTGGATTTGGTAGGTTTCGTTTTAATAAATATGACATCTTCCATAAAAATCCCATCCCACCTTGTCCCATCCGGCCCTCATGGAACGGAATCATTAGCAATAGAAAGAGCGAAAGCAACGTTTAATGTTAAGGAGTTAACTTCGGTGATATACACTAAGTCAGAATTGGAAAAATGTGATAAGGTCTTAAATATTCTCCAAAACGATCCTCTTTTCAATAAGAGTGACATTTACTTTATGGG